CTTGTTAGTTTATTTTTCCCCAAAGTGAACTTTAGATGGAATTTTGCCTCAGTTTGTCATTGGGACTTCAGTAAAGGAGTAGACGTTGCTTAGTTTCCCTCTGGGAAGGAATTTGAGCAGCAGTGGGTACATACCCATGTGTATGCTGGTGTGCTGGTGCCAGGGGAGTCCAAAAGAGGGTGTGGGATCCCTGGAGTTGGAGCTCCAGGTGGGGATAAGCTGCCCCATACGGGAAGCAAGCTCAGGTTCTCTGTAAGAACATTATATGCTCTTAACCACGGCACTATCTCTCCGGCCCCTGAAAGGAAAGGTTTGTAGTTTTAGTTCTTCTTCAAGCGTCTTGTATCTCATAATAGATACCTGCACTCTGCCAGCAGCACATTGATGTGCAGATTCCCCTTAGTGTCATCCTGTGTTTACACCAGCCAGAGTGTACGTTCGATAAACGCGTGTGTTCTTGGTTTATCCCGTGACAGCGATGTCTGCGTTCTTCCGAGACCATCTGCCCTGCTCGCTGTGTGATTGCTGGCACAAAGAAAAGCCTAGTAGACAGTATGGTAACAGTGGGATTTCGATGTTTTTCTCATCATCCTAATAATAAAGAAAAGTGAGAAGGAAACAAAACGCATGGTGTCAGCAGAGGAAAGTCAGATGGTCTCGCAATTAACTACCGGTTAGTTTCCAGACACCCCGCACCCTGTTCTGTTAATAATACAGCACTTTTGCCTGGTAGGCTAGCTTTCTGTAGCTTTCATCACGTAAAACAGTCAGCGTGGAGCGCACCTGTCATAGAAGAAGCTTCGTGTCTTGATGTAATTGTTAGTTGCACTGTGTATTTTCCTGGCCTCGGATCGGTTCTTTGTTCTTGCAGCTGTTTCCTTGCTCAGCCGTTCCTCCCACCTCAGACAGCAAGTGCAAGAAATGAGGCGCTGTGTCTCAGAACCTATCGTTAATACACAGGCATCCATTGCTAATAAATATTGAATGTGTGCAGCTTTGAACTGAGTCTCTGTAAGATGCAAATTTTGCTTTGGAAATAGCCCGTTCGGCAGCCCCAACTAAAAATACGGCTTGCTCATAAATTAAAATGTTGGAAATTTGGGGACGTTTCTCTAAAAATGAAAACCCTAGATGCCATGAGATAGATTGATGAAGAAAGCAAACATGTTTGCTGTTGTTCCAATTGTAGTACCTGTTGCATTGTGTGTGTACATATATGTACATTTTTGTATTGACCATCTACTGCTGGGCATGAGATCTTTTTGTTTGTTTGTTTTTGTTTTTCGAGACAGGGTTTCTCTGTAGCTTTGGAGCCTGTCGGGCTGTCCTGGAACTCACTCTTGTAGACCAGGCTGGCCTCGAACTCACAGAGATCCGCCTCCCAAATGCTGGGATTAAAAGCATGTGCCACCACCGCCGGACTGGGGTCTATTCTTAAGTGTGCTTTGTATAACCAGTGAGACTTGGTTGGAAAAAACTAATTTTTTCTTGCTGAGCGCTTATCCACTGGAGATCGCTATGGGTTAGGGATGGAGTTCGTGTCCTCTTCTCCTCCAGCACTGGGATTTCGTCTGTCTTGAATTCACGCAGCCTTTTTGCTTGCTGCCATAGTCTCAGTGATTTCCACGCATGTCAGTTCTGCTGTATTTGAAAGACCTTGTTTCTCTGGCTCAGCCACCACCGGCTCATCCATCTCCTCTTCTGTAGGGTTCCCTGACCTCCGAGGGGAGGAATTTTATGGAAACATCCCAATTAAGAATGAGTGTTACACTTGGAGATTTCTCATCCTCAAGTTGAAAACTCTACTGTGGTTCTATGCCCATCCATCAATTAACTGTAAACAGTAAAATTTGTTTCAACAGACATCTTAAAAAATGGCTCTCATATTAGGAAATGTTCCTTGGGTACCCGGCACTTAGTGAAAATGAACGTGGTGATCCGCACCCGGTGGTAACTGAGGAGCAAAGAGAATGTATGACCTGTCCAGTGCCGACCAGCTGGAAGTGGAAAGGTTAAAACGTTAGCCCTAGATTTCCAGCAGGAATTTAAGCAGTGGCTCTGTAGTTACTGTTACAGGATGCTATTTTCCTTCTGCCTGCCTGGGAGCCACACAGCTTGTCAGGTGTTAGGGGACCTCTGAGAGAGACTCACTTTGCTCCTCAATCCGCGGGGGTGAAGTTGTGTATCAAATGGATGCCCTTTGGGGAGAAGCAGGGATGACAACGTGGAAGCTCATTACATCCAATATTTTTCTTGTTGTACTGGACAGACCTGTTTGTAATTTCAGATAAATTGTAGTTTGGTTGTTTTCTCCAAACTTACATTTTTTTACATTCATTTCTTCAGCAAATTCATTGAGAAATTTGCAAAATGCTAAAGAAATATGCTAAATTCTAATTTTGTCACTATTTTTTTTTTTAGAATTGCATTCAAACATGCAATTTTCTTAGCAAGAAACAGTGCCTTCAGCTCATCCAACCTCTGATTTCAGTTCTTCCAATGATGAGAGCTCATTTTATCTGTGTTGAGTAGTCACTGACTTGGACAAATGACTTTATACATATTTTATCTCTTAATAGCTCCATGCTTATCTCAAACCGAAAGCCTTTAGTTCTTCTGAGTATCTGAATATATTATAGATTAGCTTAAGGTCAGCGAGCTTATTTAGTGGCATACATGATTATGACCAAAATTAGAATGGATTTATTACTTAACAGTAGTGGCGTGTGTACCATGTCCCTTCCCTGCTCTCTTTTCATACCGAGCGGTGTGATTTGTTTCGAGTAATTAAAATAAAATCAGTCACTATAATGAAACTTTGTGAATTTTCAGGATGAAACGAGACAGTCATGTCTGGGATTTAATTTCTCCTTGTTTGAAGCGATCACTTTACCTGCCACTGTTCTGTGGAGGTGACAGTAGACATGGCACTTCTGGATCGGAAACAAAGAACCTTGGTGCTCATGTCTCTGCAAGTAGAATGGGCAGCAGCTCTCTGCTGACTTCCTTTGTTCCCACATCCACTCGGGTGGAGTTGGGTGTCAGATGGGTGCCCCTTGGGGACAAGGTTGACACTGAGTTTTCCTACCAGACAATAAGTAAACCTTCTCTATCCTCAAAGTTGTTGTTACCTCAACAGTCAAAGCTCCCCTATCAGCCCTGAGAAACAGTCTAGGTAGAATATGTTCAGAGTCTTGAAATCTTGGTACTCCCATTAAGAGAAGCAGTAGCCCAAGAATTACAGAGGAGTGACCTCTGACAGACAGGGGTAGTATGCTGAAGCAGACAGGGTGGTGCCTGGCAAAAAGGAATAGTTAGTTTAAAAGTTGTATTTTTTTCTAATTTAGGGTCATTTTAGATGGGATGAATATATTGAGATCATTTTCTTTTCATGAACTGAAGAACACATGATCATTGCTTCTTAAAGTATAGTCTATAGGTTTTTTTTAAGAGAATTATAATTTCTGAGAAAATGTAAATTTTCTAAATTATACTATGTTTAGGTCAGCTTGATTGGCTGATAACCCTCAAAATTGTTTTGTTGTTTCCTGTTTAACCCTAAAAATGTCAGCTATAATGAAAAACTTAATAAAGATATAAAGAAAGGAAGGCTTGGATGGGAAAAGTATTATGTAGCTAAAATGCAAACTATAGTTCTGAGAGAGAAAGAGAGAGAGACACAGAGACACACAGAGAGAGACCCAATAAGCTTCCTGCCATTATTTGATAACATTTTGGTTATAACATATTTTATTATGACTAACTGGAATGTGGAAATAATTAATTATTCTTAGAAATATTTATGTTTCCATTATCCCATGACAGAAGATGATTTGTCATGGACAGGGCATAGCAGGGTAGGTTCTAGAGGAGTTTGGTGACTGGGGAGATGACTCCGCACTTAAGACCCAAATTTGCTTCAGGTTTATGCTGGGACTGCACCACTCATGAACACCGCCTGCTCCCTCCCCCAGACACATAATAATGATAAAGAATTTTAGGACATAAGGGATAGAATCCAGACAAACATCATCCACTTAGGGTTCTTTAGGATCAGTGTGTGCTGTCTATGGATTTGCTTATTCACTTTCTCAGAACTGCTTTACTGACTGTCTCTATAACGAAAGCCCTTCTGTTGGGGACCCTTAAAAAAGAACCACTGTTTCTGAAGCAATCTAGTCTAGAGGCAGAGAGCAGGCAAGAGTCGTCTGTGCCAGGATGAAGTACCGTGCTCAGGGAATGCTAGGGGATGAGTGATCTGTAATCTTGGGGCTTTGTGTCTGTCAGCATTCAGTCACTGTAACAAAGTACCTGGTATTGTCACCTCAGAACAAGTTTTGGTCTTGTTTGGTTTGGGCTCATGGTTTTCAAGGCTGCAGTCTGTGGTTAATTGCCTGCCTTGAGTTTGGTCTCGCGGTGAGACTGTGCATCGTGACTGGAGTGTGGGGTGAAGGAAGTACTCACCTCAGAGCCATGATGGAGAAGACACTGAAGATCCGAATCCCTTTGACATTGTGCCCTGAATGACCTCTGACTTCTAACCAGGACACAGGAGTGAAACTCCACACGAACAAGACTTCAACGATGAGCTTCAGAAGATTAAATGACGTCACAACTGTGGAAGGCTTTTTCAGCTCAGCTTGTCTTTATTGTGTTTGGATTTCCTAGCTTAACAGATCGGATATTTCTTCTTTCCTTTGATAGGATAGAAAGTTCACTCTAAGTTCACAGTTGTTTATCGCATTTATTTATTCGTTCTATGTCTATGTGCATGAACACATGTGTGTGCAAGAGTGTGGGCACACATACACTTGAGAGCATTGAGGAGGTTAGAAGGCAACTTGCCCACGTTGGCTCTCTCTTTTCCACCACATAGGTTCCAAGGATCAAACTCAGGCCATCAGGCTTGGCGACAAATGTCTTTACCCATGGAGCTGCTATTTTAATGGCCCCGCATGTATAGTTTTGAAGGAGTTTATACCATGGTGACAGTGCAGATGGCTACATCTGCCCTGGGAAAGCCTGGCTTCTGTGCAGGTGAACGACGTGGGTATAAAATGTTGACGTGGGGCATAAATCAGGCACCTGACTGTAGACGGGAAACTTTGACAAGTGTCCTTTCTCTTTTATCTATTTGAGTTTGCATAACCTGTCAGAGAGTATTTTATCCCCAAACTCAGAGTTAAGTACCTGGCTTTATGTATGTGCTTGCACTTGCAGTATATAAATTCAGTTTTATGAGGGGGCACGACTTAACGTTGGGCTTTGAAAAGCATTCTCAGTTGTGAAGGGACCACCTACTATGCCAGAGAGGTGTCTAATGTCTGCTGGGAAGGCTGATTGTTTGGTTTAGGCACAGTCGTTTCTGATGATCGACAGCAGCACTCATCATGCCAAGTGATGTGGAGTTCCTGTGCTCCTAGATACTGCTGAACCTAGAGCTCATAGGGCAATTTTAAAACATGAATGCATGAAATAGAAGAGGCCCTGCACAGCACAAAGGAGCGTTATCATATTGTGTAACGGTCAGCCAGTCACCACTTGGATCCCCGGGTTGCCACAGCAACATCTAGATCCATTTGGAGCTCCAGATCCAACGCAAATGAAAATCCTGTCTGGCAGGCCTGTGGTCCATACGACTACTAGGTAGATTCATTCATCAGTTGTAAGAGAGGTCTTGTTCTAATTCTTCCTTGAGTACAGTTTGTCAGATCGTCTTCAGTATTTCACTCTCTAAGCGCTCAGAGGCAGCAGCCAACCGTTTTGCTGTATTTTAGAATTACCTGGAGAATTTTCTTTTTTTTTTTAATTCTAAAGCCCACAGTCCACATGTATGAAATCTAAACCTCCATGCCTGACACCAGATATGCTTGGCCTGTGTTTGTAAGTGCTTTATAAATCTCGAGCCTTACCCCAACATCTTGCTGACTGGGACAAGGGAGGACTCTTGGCTCTGAATGATAAGCGGTGCTCGAGTTAGAGGCATGGTAGTGATTTGTCTTCGTTATATAATTGAAAGGCATGCTTCATTTAAAAAGTGAAACACAACAAACCTGCTGAAATTTAACACAACCCTCGGACAATTGCCATGTTTAAGAAGCACGGCTTAATTCTCCAATGATCTGGACAACTAGTCCCGAGTCTTAGGGTTGTGCTGCTGCTGGCTCACATAGCTGTTTTATGTGTGTGACTGTGTGACTGTACCCCATTTGTGTGAGTGTCTGTGGAGGTCAAAAGAGCACAATGGATCCCCTGGAGCTGGAGTTATGGGCAGTTGGAAGGTGTGTGATATGGGTACTGGGAACCCAATTCAGGTCCTCTGGAAGAGCAGCAAGTGCCCTTAATCACTGAGACATCCCTTCAATCCAGGTAGTGGTTGGTAACCACTGTTATACGTTGGCATCACGAGAGCCCTTAACAATGTGTCCATCCATAGGCCTACCCAAGATATCCTGATTTGACTGTGGCTTGCCGTTGACATACATTCTTGAAAGAACTGTCCCAAAGGGAAGTCTAGTATATAGGCAGGATTTTCACCGTGATCACTACTGGCTCAGTTTTTCTCATTCTGTATTCTATGAACTTGTCTTCCTATTGGAAAAACTCACTGGAGGCAGACAGCATGTTAGATCTTATCTTTAGTGATGTTTTCTGATCTATTCTGATTCGCTCCAGCTACCCCTCTTTAAGGGGTAATTGCAAGTTAGTCAGTGCTTCTCTTTAAGCAGGAAATCAATCCTTTATCTGGTTTTCAAGCTCGCTACACTACAGATCACCCGCAGTCCTGTTTTCCAAATGAGGTCACACCACACTAGGTTCTCTGCATGTGAGCAACGGTTGTGTAGTCTGGTCTCTTTGTGGGGCCCTTGGCAGTAGGACCAGGATCTATCTCTGGTGCATGAGCTGTTTTTTTTTAAGCTCATTCCCTATAATGGGATGCCTTACTCAGCCTTGATGTGTGTGTGTGTGTGTGGGGGGTCCTGCCTTAACTTGATGTGCCAGGCTGTGTTGACTCCTCATGGGAGGCTTTAGCCTTTCTAAGGAGTGGAAAGGGGGGAGGTTGTGGGAATTGGGAAGAGGGGTAGGAGGGGGAACTGTGGTTGGTATGTAAAATAAATTAAAAAATTTAAAATTAAAAAATAGAATAGAATGAGGTCAAGATATAGACACCACCAACACTGGCTGTATATTCAGAGGCCAAGAGACAATTCTGATTAAGTCAAGGGATCCACAGTTTCTTCCCTCAGAACTTTACAGAAATGCCGCTGTTAGCCAAGTGTCTCAGAAGGACCTTCAATGGGCCTTGGGACCTTAGAAAAGGGAAAAAAAAATCACCCTTTATAAATTAGTCCTAAAACTCCAGCTTCTTCTATCACGTAGACAACTCTCGATGAGTCCGCAGATTGCTTATAAATATGGAGAACTGTATCCGTTCTCCGTCATCACCTTAATCTCGGAAGGTACATCTCTCCCAGGGGAGGGCAGTAAATTCACACGGTGTATGCCAAAGATTTCAGCTCCCTTCAATTCAAATCTAGCTAAAATGCAAAGATTTCTTATTGCTTTGTTTTTTTTTAAATAGTGCATGATTTTTTCAGTCACATATATGAAGAAAAAAGAGAAAAAGAGAGGAGGTAGGGGGAGAGGAGGGCGAGAAGGAGGGAGGCCCATCTCTGTGAAATTAGCCTGGCATATGATAAGAACCAGAGAGTCTCTCCTCTGTACAAACCCAGTGATCATTACCATTTATGCAAGTTAAGGTTGATTTGTTTCTCTCCCCAACAGTTACACACTTCTGTTTCTCAACTTTGTGATACATCCCAGAAAGCCAGCTCATGTGTTCTAATGTACATAGTAGATTCATGTGAAGGTTCTTTTGTCATGGAAGCCAAGAAATCACTCCTAGCTCTGGCCTTACCGGTGTGCCACAGTAGTGATTAAAAAAAAAAAAAGTAAAAGCTAACAGTTCTGGAAGACTCTTTGGAATAGACACAAGCAGGTCCAGGAGAGTTCCATGTCTGGTACCCAGAAAAACTAACATCTCAGTATAATCACGTCTATCCAGATGTGCTTTCAGTCTATTCCCAGGCCACTGTCAGGGCTGGGAGATCTATGACACCTCTCTGGGCATGCTGTGGGAATAAGACTCTCAAACTGCCATCAGACATAGCCCATTGTGGTTGTTTATAAATAACCCCATAGAAAATTTAAAGCTAATTATAGAATGCGGTATGATAATTTCATACTGAATTTATGTTTTATTATCTTCCATATAAATTTTTATTTTCAGAGAAGTCCCTTCCCGTAGGGTACTTACATTTAGCCATGATCTCGGCTTTCATCTTATAAAAATGGATTGCATGGCTTGGGAACCATTTGAAAATAATGAAAACACTCCATCTCCCATGCCTAACGTAGTTCTACCATCTGTGGTCTATTTAATGTTAGATCATTATAAGTGTTTATTCCAAGTTTTCTATTATTATACTCTTTCTAAGGTTCTTAAAGAACACATTAGTTACTGAGCTATATTGAATTGCTCTACATGATTAGTCCTAAATAGGGTTTCTGACTTCTGGAGGAGACATATTGTCTTTGTTTTTCATGTTTGTGCTTTTCCCTGGGGTTATGACATTTGAGGTGTTTCTTGGTATAAACATCTGGTCCTGTGTTTGTTGGGTGGGTGTTTCATTCTTTGGTTATCGTTTTCCACTCCAGGTCCCAGCAAGTATGGTGGCTGTGGGGTCCGATTCCCCAGCCAGGCGTGGTACACTTGAGATCCCTGGTAGAAAGCAATGTTTAACTCCAGCCAAGTATTTGGGGGTTTGCTCCCTGGTAAGAGCTCTTCTGCAGGTGGGCAAGAAGATGGGCTAAAATGGTTTGCAGAGAGATGCAGCTGGAAGAAGTAGGGGGTCTTTGAATCTGACCAAGAGGCTGAGTCACTAGAGGATGGGTGTGAACTACGAGAAGGAACTACCATTAGTCTACAGCAGGACGAATGGTAAATCTGGAGAAACCAGAACAAAGGACAGGAAAGAGGATGAAGGTCCCCTACATGAGTTCCAACCTGTGTGGCAGCTATGGGTCCTTAGTAAGGAGATGTCCTATGGGTCAGTGGAATCCCAGAGAATTGGACATGGGCTAAAAAGAAATACTGCAAGTACTGCTGGGAAGAACTGGTGGGTCTCCAGGGCTTCACTAAGAGGCCAAGTACATAAAGGATAGGACTGGGTTTAGAGCAGGGGACCAGGCAGCCAGGCTGCAGCAGAACTAAGAATAAGATTACAATATGATTCATATGTGCACAAGGTTATAGATTATTGATTTGCAGTATTATTTGATTCAAATCTACTATCATATTGTGTATTTTTAGAAATTATTAAAATGTTTTCTCAAATATAGACAGTTTAGAAAGTAAACAAAGTTATTAAGAGGAGAAACAAAACTGTTTAGACACTTTTATATGACAAGACTAATAATATCTATTATTACTGTATTATATGATTCATAGGGCAATTTCAGAATACAAATTGGCAGTTTCAAAAGTCGGTGTAACTAGACAATACACACAAGAATTAATTAAAAAAGATAGGATCATGAATATAGTTACAATAATACATTTTATTGAATAATATTTTGGTATTGTAGGATCTGTTATAATGTGAATTATGGGAAAACTTACCAGCAGGTGGTAGCACCAGTTAACAAATATGCCTCCAGTTCACCAAGCAAGCAGTTCCGAAGGGGTTACTGGCTGCAAGAGCAGTAACATTCTACTCTGTCAGAGCACTAAATTGGAACTTGACAGCCTGATTCTTGATCCTAGCTCTGTTACATATAGTCCTCATCATTTCAGAAAGAGTATGTAATCATATAATGCTTAGATATGAGTAAACTTTAGGCAGTAACGCTTGCTTTAAAGGTAGGAAGCACAGATTGTTGTTAGATAGTATGAGAAAGGGATAGTGCTATCTAGGGCAGGCTATTTTCTCCCTCTTCTTACCCTCTCCCCAGCCTATTTATGTCTTAGTATTTAGATATATGTTTTCATATAGATTCCCAGTAGGACGATGTGATCATCTTGTTGCCTTTTAAAGAGTGTACTCAGAAATGTCAGATGACATTTTATTGTTCACCTAGTAACATTTTTGAGTATTTTTCAATTCTGTTTCTTTCCAGATGTTGTAAGCTGTTAAGAACTCAGGTATCATTTTGTCTGAGGAAAAGCAATTCCCTGCTCTCAGTGTTTATGTTGTAATCATTTTCGCCTAAAGCCTACATATTTATATACTAAAGCAGAAATTCTTCAGTCTGCAGGAGGAGAATTCAAATGCTGTCCTTAAGGAATTTCACAGAGGAAGACACCATCTCCATGCACCTCCATGTCTGCAGGATAGGAAGACAACGAACTGCACACTGACTTATGCTTGCTGAATATTTACTCAGTGAGAAGAAGTGGACGACCGGCCAGAGAATTGAAAACCATCAATACCTGGGCCTCCTGAAAATGAGGGACTTTATTCTTCATTCAACAGATTTTACTGATCATATACAGTAGACCGAGCATTCTGCTAGGGGTACAAGTCAGACAGGACACACACAATTTTCAGAGCTGTGCTTTAACAGCTGATCTATACGCAGAAGTGAAATGCGAAAAAAAAAAAAAAAACACATCAGGCCAGAAAAGGGAGTCTTGAGAAAAAAATGAATGAATAGGTGCCTTTTGGATTATACCTCCGCTGAAAGAAATCAACTGTGAGGTGTGACTAGCAGAAAGAGGAGTGTCTAGTGGAGGGAACTAGACCGGCAGAGCAGATTTGAAGTTGAGGTGTTTAGGCAGAAAAAGGTTCTAAGTTTTGCATAACTATTAGCAAATTACTTCGATTTGTTTTGTTTCTTGATTGCCTTTTCTGGCCATTGAAAATGATGGCGATCTACTTTTTAGAGTTATACGGAGAACTAAGTGTGCAATTTAGTGCACAGCAAGCTCTTAATAGAGGCAATGGCAAGCCGATTTCGCTGAGATGTGTGTGCGATACAGCAGAGCGGTTTTAGGACACCGGAGTTTGGATGTTGCGTCTCGGATTTATTAGGGCAGAAATGGGAAGCGCAGAGTCTCTCACAGAGAGGTGTCAGTAAAAAGATACATCGGTGGTGTCGTAGCAGCTGTTCCCAGGCTGTTTCAAAACACAGTGAATGGAGGCCTGAGATAGATATCATCTATCTCAAGAGGACAGCTATGAGGTAATGTGAGCCTGGGCTCGGGTAAGGGATTTGGAAGGACTTGACTATAAATTGGATGGGAACAAGACGGAGGGAAGATGAAAGTTCCTTTAGCAACATGAACCTAGGAAACTAGGAGGAAGGCTGCACCTTTGGCAAAAGACTTTCCTTTTGTGTTTGTTGTTGTTGTTACTTTTATTGTTATTACTATGTCTGAGGAAAGCAAATGCGTACGTTTTATGGGGAAGAGCGGACAAGAAGACACAAAGCATCAGGCAGCAGGGTCCAAGACCAGGGCTAAACGTTTCTGTTGGGGATAATCTGCTGATTTTCATAGCGTTCATTGAAACCAGCTGTCTCTACTAAAGGTAGCAGGGGAAAGTGGAACATTAAAAAGGAGGGGGAAAAATCGTATAAAAAGATTCCGAGAAAGAATATCCTGAGGGCTGATAGGAACATTTGGGGAGTGAAACATTGCCAAGTGTCAAAGCAAGCCAAACTCTGCGTCCATGAACTTGGAAGAGCAACTTCCTCTTCCTGTACAGAGATTTTTTTCCCACGTCCTTAAAGACCCATCCTTATTTAAAATGTCACAGGTGGAATCAAAAGAAAATCCCTCTTGCCAGAATATCATAAATTACTATCTGGCTGGAGATAGGTGGAGTAGCGACAAATGCAGGCACCTCGCTTTCTGTTAAACAGGGTTTGTAATGTAAAATGAGTGGACTCTCTTTCCAGAACAAGTTGACCACCCATAAACCGCGGGGCAAAAAGGATTAGAAATCCTTCTCAGAACCTCTGGGAAGACTTCCTGAGCTCCGTGAGTTACAGTGCTGGGGCAATATGCCATACTTATTTATATAACACGTTTGCAGCATCACGTTATATTTTCAGGCTGGGCTGTGATCCTTAAAGACTTTAAAGGCAATCATTATAAAGGCAGCATTACTAGGATCTAATGAACATATAATATTACCAATTTACCCAAATATGTTTCTTATAATAAATACTGTTATCACACTATAGAACATTTCCATGTCTATAAAAAGTTGCTTGCATTGCCTTTTTGCACCCCAACATTTTCCCCTTTTTCTGATCTCTGGCAATTACCATCATCTCCGTATTCAACTAAGTTAAATTTTTGTAGAACTTCATATCAATAACATTATGCAGTCTGTGCCTGTTTTTTCCTATAATCTGCTCTTAAAATTCATCTGTGTGATTTATTATAGTGATGCCTGTATACCATCCTGGCATTCAGTAGGCTGAGGCATGAGGATCATGATTTTGAAGGCAGTCTACAATGCGTAGTGAACGGAGACCAGCATGGTCTACATTGGGAGACATAAGTGGAACTCACCTGAGATATATATGTGTGTGTGTGTGTGTGTGTGTGTGTGTGTGTGTGTGTGTGTGTGTGTCTGTGTGTATGCAGTCTTATTTCCCCCTTTTTGATTAATCACCATACTTTATTCAGAATTTCAATACATCCCTGACATCTTCTTCCATGATCCATTCCAGGATGCTACACTATGCTTAGCTGTAGTATCATTTTAATTTCCCACAGGCTGTAATCGTTTCTCAAACTTTTCTTGGTTTTAATGACATAGAGGGAATTTGACAACAATTTTGGAGAATGCCTGATAAGGTTAATTCGCTAATAGTTTCCTCATAGTTTGATTGGCAATAAGGGTCTTTTAGAGTACTGTATATAACTATAGGATCTGAGTTAACTAGTTTTTTAATCACTGGACCCTTTCTGGAGGTCTTGTTTGGCTCCTGATTTCCGGGGTGTCAGCCTTTATTTTCTTGGTGCTATGCACTTGGGTAGAAGATTATGGATTGACTGTACATGGTCAAAGTTTTCACATCATGGCAAACAGGAAATAGAAAAGACATAGAGGTGGAGCTGAAACAAGATACGTCCAAATAACTCCAGCTCCCATGCTTTACTTTTAAAACAGAAGCCCCACTTCCTGAAGCTCCCAGAGCTTTTGAAAGCAGTGCCCTCAGTAGGGGAGCAAACACTGCATACACATACACTGACCTGTGGAGGACATTTCGTACTCAAGTAGCATCCTCAAGCCCTCGGTGCACAGACTCAGGGCCACCTAATACTGAAGTCTGCGTGTGGTCCAAGAGTTCCCAACGACAGTTCCAGTGTTTTTTAAACACTCAAGTTCAAAGTCTTTTCTGAAGAGCAAGGCAAACTTGTGAGCCCCTGTAAAATCACAAGTCACACACTTCCAAGACAGAAGGGGCCAGCATTGGCATACTCTATCATCTGTCTAGATTACTGTTCTGTGTGGTCTTGAAAATGATGTGCCTTTTGTAGCTGTTGGAGGGACCATTGGTTAGGTCCAAGGAGCCTGCCAGGCAGTTTAACTCTGCTCATGTTAAAATCCCTGGAGTGTTTTTCATTGCTGAAATAGGTTCCCCAGCTATGACTGCACTGAGGCTTTTATCCCACTTCATGTTTATATATTTGGGCACTCCAGTAATGCGTACATACAAACTTAGAATTGTTTTTCATTCTTGACAAAATGGCCATTTTTCCATTATATATTTTCTTCTCTGTCTTCTTTTGTATTTCATTTTGTGTTTTTTTTCCCCATAGTATCCCTTAGGCATTATTTATTTGTAACCTTGTGTTTTCATCCCTTGCCTTTTGGTTTTTTAAACAGTAATTTTTATGCACATGGGCGTTTTGTCTACATGTATGTCTGGGCACTGTGTCCATACCCGGTGCCCTTTGAGGCAAGAAGAGTGTGTCCAAACTCCCGGAATGAGAACTACAGTTGTGAGCTGCCACGTAGTGTACGGCATTGAACCTGAGTCCTCTGGAAGAACAGTACTCTTAACTACCAAGCCATCTTCCCAGCCTCTTTTATGTTTTTGTATGTATGTTTTCTGAGTGTTTTGTAGATAGCATTTGAGTTCATGAAGGAAATGGGAAATTCTTCCTATTACGGGAAGCTATTTTGAAATGATAGCAACTTCACAGTGAATATAAAGGTAGTGTAGGAATCTACCTGATAAAAACACACTGAGTATACTCTATTCCCTTTCATAGTTTATATTCTTTACATCTTATATATGTAGTGATATTTTGCTTGTGTTTTTAACAAATAAAGCTTGCCTGAAGATCAGAATGCAGAGCTAAGCCACTATAGGCCAGGCAGTGGTGGCTCACACCTGTAATACAAGAACTTGGGAGTCCCACGCCTTTAATCCCAGCACTAGAGAGGAGGAGACAGGAAGGAATATGGCTGGATGGAGAAAGGAATATAAGATGGGAGGAGACAGTCTGAGGTTGGTGTAGACAGTTGCAATGTGAGGATGAAGCCTGAGGAGACAGTCTGAAGACAGGTTCGCCCCTTGGGTCTGAGCATTCTTAGAGGTAAAGGGTCCCTCTAATATCTGGCCGTATTCCTTCCCTGATCCTTCAGTTTTAACCCCCTAATATTTGACTCTGGTTTTTATATATTAAGACCAATTAGAATTCATGCTACATGTACATATGTACATTGGATACATCTTAGCATAGTATTATATTTTAGCTTTTATCTTCACATTAAGAATACAAGTGGCTACAGAACATTTTGAATATTTTGAAGCCTTTTGAATTTCTATAGTTACTACTGAGTGTATAGAACATATTATCTTTCCTTTTTAAACAATATTTTTATTCTTTAAGAATTTCATGTACTGTATTTGGACATATTCATCTTCTTTCGCAAGCTCTCCCCATATCCATCATCTCTTTCTCCCCTTACTTCCAACCCAACTTTGAGTTTTCTTCTTTATTTTCCCCCATTAATTCTAATTTGTATTTCCAACTGGTCTTGAGAGTGGGGTCTACCCTGGTGTGCTGCTGACCCACCAGGAGTCATGCTGTTCAAGAGAAGTGACTTCCACTCTCCCACCAGCTATCAAATGTCAATCAATATCTCCTCAGTTAGTGATGGGATTCCATGCCTCAGTCTCCTCCTCTGTGCTGGGCTTTTATCTAGCTTGGGCTTTCATGGGCCTTGTGCACATTGTCACCATCACTGCAACTGCCCCATGATGTCAAGAAAACATTGTTTCCTTGATGTCATCCACCACTGTTGGAGCTTGCAGTCATTCTTGCGACTATTACACCTATGGACATATCTTGTCAGTCCAGCTGTTGTAATGTGCAGAGTTCACAGCTGGATGAGAATGAGAATGGCTTTCCTCCTTCGATAGCATGGGTAGTACTTTCCAGCACCATGGAAGCTAGCCAGTGGGGCTGAAGCCTTCAGGTCAGCACCAGCTTGATTTCTCCTTGTTCTGTGATTCAAATATGTTCTGTTTTCAGCAATGTGATCTTGCTGTCAAGTTCTGAAGGGTAACCAAGAGTACTGGTGATAGCCTGTAATGCTTCGGTATATGAGACCTCGTTCTTCAACATCTCAAAAAGAGGTCACCTATTTCTGGACTGGAGATTTGGGTTGGGTGTGTGGAAGGAAGGATCAGGCCAACTCACTGAAATAGACCCTGGAGCAGGATGTGTGGGATATGGCTGGAAGAAGAGGTTGGATGTAGTCAGGAAAGGGTTTATGGTCAATGATGGGCAAGATGGGTCCTGGGGAAAACCTAGAAATTGGTTATAGTACAAGCAGAGGTAGCCAGACTAAACTGGAAAACTGGATTTGGGACCTGGATCTTAGGGTTGTGGAAAATATGGAGACCGGAGGGTTTGGCAGACTCAAAGGGCTAGACCCTGGAGAAGAATGCTCGAGACATGGCTGGGTAGAGAGGTTCTATGTGGTATAGACACATTTCTTATGTAACAATGTTACATTAATGAGCGGTCTTTCCAGAAAACAAAGCTCTAATGTGTAGTGTTGGAAGATTTCCATCATGTAAATTCTCCCACTGTGGGCGGTCCGCACATGATGCCCTCATGGCTTGGTGACGGTCAGTCCTTGTGAGTCTGCAGAAGCTGACTCGCTCATTTTGAGACAGATATTTTAATATTCAAGCCTGGGTGCGGGGTGAAATGCCTCCATCTGTCCCCAGGACCCTAGAGGCATGTACCAAATGCTGAAGAATAAACAAGTAAGAGGAGGTAATTTCATGAATTTATGTAGAAGAGTGACTTATTGTTTACTCAATACCTTCAGTAAATGTTAATGTGGGTGCTTCCCAGGGGCTAATGTCTAGAGAAGTTTGTTCTCCTTTCCCTGAAACCTAAAACAACAGAGATTGCTCAGGTTTAGTCAGCACATGGCCTTCCCAGTTTGCTTCCAGTTCTTTCTATAGCCTGGCTAGCTCCTCCATTTTCTGTTCTTCATCCTACTTCCTGATGTCTCTGTGTGCTGTATTTCCTAGACTCCCCTTCCAGTCGTTCTCTTTTGTACTCCTGCGTCTCCTTGGCTTGCTTCTTTGCGGCCAGATGAAAAGCTGCCTACGCTAGAGTACCACTGAGTATAGAAACAGAGACCAGGCTGGTGCACACTTAGAACTTGTTTGACCTACTCTGCCAAAACTGGGCCAAGGAGCAAAACATGGCCAGAAAGCAAATGCTGCTGAGCAAGAAAAGCAGCATGGGGTCACACATCACTTCTTAGAATGGTGAGTTGGAAAGACCTCTAGAAATCATTTAGTCTAAATAAGACAAAAACAAGATCCACTGAGGTGAAACAGCCTGCTCAACACTTGTAGCGCAAGTAATTAAAACCCAGAGACAGATATTGGGGTTCAAGCTGAAGATCAGCAAAGCAAAACAGCCAAGCTACTAAAGAAGTCTTAGCTCTACCAAGGCTGGGTGAGTCAATTGGTGAAAGGAGAGGGAGACAGGGAGATGGAATTGACTTTGAAGTAGAATAAGGTAGAAAATATCATTTATCAGATATTGATTTATTTAGTGGTTTATTGAAAACACTGCTTGTACTACCTGTTTGCCAAGAGTGACTTCACTTGCTCCCTGGGTCAGAATGACCTGGAGAAATAGCTGAAACAATGTACTGTTGCCCTTAACAACCTGAGGACTTCCACACAGGATTCTGTAAAATCTCGCTTGCTTGCCCATTCTGCCTTGGAGTTTTAGAGACTAGAAAGAGAACGCTGGATCCAGAACTCAGGCCTTTTAGGAGCTGTCCTGGGTTCGGTCCATGGGGGTGGGTGGCATCTGCTCTCTTCTATTCTTGCTAGTGTCAGAGAGCCTATTCCAGAAGGATTCCTACAGCAGTTGTCTTGGGCAGGAATAAGCCTGTCAGTTTTCGTAACTGCTTAGAATGAGTTCTCCTATCTAATAACAATGAAAGAAATTAATCACTGGCTTTTCCTTCGGGACAGAATCCGGCTGCGAAGACTTGGCTAGGTTCAACTTGCTATATAGCCCAGGTTTGCTTTAAACTTGAAATAATTCTCCTGATTCAGCTTCCCGAGTTCTGGAAATTCAGGCTTATGCCACCATATCCAACAATAAATCTACTTATTAAAAATAAATAGATCTATTTGTTTTATAAATCAGCAATGCTTAAAATATATATAAGTACAACTTAACTGTAAATATACTCTCTTAAGACAAAAATATGTAAAGTTTTTTTTCTCTCTATTTGCCATGGACTGGGATTCTAAAATCAGAATATCAGGTTATGTTTTATCGTCTATAATATTTAAGAAGCTGTGTTTAGGCACTGGGTGTAATTGAAGATATCTATAAGCCTAGGACTTGGGAGACTGAGGCAGCAGGACTATAAATGGGAGGCTTGAGTAGGTCTTATGGTAAGATCCCATTTTAAACAATAGGTATGAGGGTCAGTGGCGTGGTTCAGCTGGTAAAAGCATTTCCTGCAATGAAAAAGGTTTTTTTTTTTTTTTAAAGTTGTTCATGTGGCTTCTAAAAGAAATGTTAAGCAAACCTATGGGAGGAGAAAAATTGTAGATACCACAAGGACATATCCTGTTTTATCTAAGATACCACACGTATTCATCATTTTTGTTTTGAGACAGGGAGCTCTGTAGCCCAGGATGGCCTCAAAACCACTGTGTAGCTAAGGCTAGCTTTGAATCCCTAATCCTCTTGACTCTATCTCCCAAATCCTGGGAGTTGTCCTACCACACCCAGCTGAATTATATTCTTACAAAAATATAACTCACTTTATATTATTTTCAATTCTCAGACTTTCTTATCTTGCTGGATTTATTATCATAAAGACAAAAACAATTAAGATTAAATTTCTTTCATCTAATCACCATCAAATCTATTCAAAATCACCAGTATTTGAATCTGTTCATCTCACTCCCCGGTTCTCTTCTAAACAAGAACACTGTGTGAACACTGGGAGAGACCCCAGCCAGCAAGGATGCGGGTAGGAAACCTAAAAATCTCATCCTTCTCAATCAGCAGATGATGTGTGCCAGGGGTTCGAGTGTGTGTGAAAGGCCTCAGCCTGCAACTACTCTATTGCTTAAATATACCACAGACCCTGGCTCTTCAGTTTCCTGTGGCATGGACTGAATCCTCACTCTGGTATTGGTGGTGGGTTCCTTCGGGAACATCAAGTACTTCAACTCTCCAGATGTACTAGACTCCAATGACCACGTGCATGACTTACACCGGGCCTTCACAAAATTGACCTGGGCACGACATTCCTTACACTCCATCCTTCTTTAAGTCCTAACTTGGTTTGGCCCAGCTTCCAGGCATAATGGCAACTGATGGGTTACCACTCTGGATCCTCAGTGCATCAGTGGCCTTCTCCATGATGAAGTTCAAACACAACTGTAACCTAATGCAAATAAGAACAACGAAGACATAAAGGAGTGGAGAAAGCTTTCTTACCCTCAACAAGCAAGGAGAACACAGGAGTCATTTCCAAGGCTGAGCTCTCTTTAAACGAAAAAAAAAACACATGGGGTCATATTCTAGCATGACCATATAGGATGGGCCCATTCCTAAGTGTGCTCAGGTAAGGAGTATTTTCCTATGTTCAGTTTCAAAGAAAAGATAGTAGACACATCTTGGGGTGTGCTTAGCTGTACTGAAAGTATATTGAAGGCTGTGTGAGAGAAAACACAACTCATAAATAAAGGAAAACCTGTCAGAATAACAGCCCATTTCTTGTCGGAAGCTTTAAAAGCAAGAAGAGCCTGAAGCAATTCGTTCAAAGTCTTAACAGACCATGAGGGCCAACTTAGAGTGAAATACTGAACAAGATAATACACCATAATTGGAGGAGTAGGAAAACTTCCTGTGATTAAAAACAGAGTATTATTTATACCCAACAAACCAAACCTAAAGAAAACGCAGGAAACAATATTTCAGCTTGAAGGGAGGAAAGAGCAAAAGCCAAGAGACTGTGGGGAAAAAGTCATTAATTACTACAACATAAAGTGCCACAGCAAAAACAATCAAATAAAAAATCAATAACACAACGACTGCAATCAAAACACACATTATAACAATAAAACTTTAACTATTGGTGGCCTCAATCCTCCAATCAAAAGACACAGACTGAGTGAATGAACTACAAAATAAAATCCACTTGTCTGTTGTCCACAAGAAACACTTTAACTTGAGTTAAAGGGTGGATAAACATATTCCAATTAAATGAGACTAGGATGCAAGCAGGCATCACTATCCCAATAGCTGACAAAATAGACTTCAAATTAAAACTAATCAAAAGGGGACAGTTAGCCATGAAGACATTGCTGTTCTATACACAGGTGCACCAAACTCTGGGGTGCCCAACTGTATATAAAAATATGTACTACTGGATTTAAAGACAGATTAACATTAACCCACTAATAGTAGATGATGTCAGTATACACACTTTCTTCAACAGACAGGTCATCTGGACAAAAAATGAGCAAAAAAGAATTAGAATGAAATGACATAATGAAATACATCAAATAGACTTAACAGATATCTCCAGAATATCCCATGCAAATACCAAAAAAATACACATTCTACTGGAACAAAACCACATTCTGGGGCGTGAAACAAATCTTTACATAATAACTCTGTGTCTTATCTGACTACATTGTAATAAAACTTAAAATCTCTCATAAGTATACAAATTCATTGAAATTGAACAACTCATTACTTAATAAGAAATGGGTCAAAGAAGAAATAAAAAAACTGCAATGAAATAAAAAAAAAAAAAACAGCACAACACAGACTTTGGGACACATCGAAAGCAACCATACCAGGAAAATATTAATTCTAAGTGCGTGTATTAAGAAATCAGAAGGATGATATGATAGTGTACATAAGCGACCCCAAAAACTCTACCAAAGAACTCCTACAGCTGATAAACACCTTTAGTAGCGTGGCTGGATACAAGATCAACTCCAAAAAATCAGTTGCCTTCCTATACACTAAGGATAAGGAAACAGAGAGGGAAATCACAGAAGCCTCACCTTTCACGATAGCCACAAAGAGCATAAAATATCTTGGGGTAACCCTGAACAAGGGAGTGAAAGATCTATTTGACAAGAACTTTAAGTCTTTGAAGAAAGAAATAGAAGAGGAAACCAGAAAATGGAAGGATCTCCCTTGCTCTTGGATTGGGAGGATCAACATAGTAAAAATGGCAATTCTACCAAAAGCAATCTATAGATTCAATGCAATCCCCATCAAAATCCCATCAAAATTCTTCACAGATCTGGAGAAGACAATAATCAACTTTATATGGAAAAACAAAAAACCCAGGATAGCCAAAACAATCTTATACAATAAAGGAACGTCTGGAGGCATTACCATCCCTGACTTCAAACTCTATTACAGAGCTACAGTATTGAAAACAGCTTGGTATTGGCATAAAAACAGAGAAGTCGACCAATGGAATCGAATAGAAGACCCTGACTTTAACCCACAAACATATGAACACCTGATTTTCGATAAAGGAGCTAAAAGTATACAATGGAAAAAAGAGAGCATCTTCAACAAATTGTGCTGGCAAAACTGGATGTCAATCTGTAGAAGAATGAAAATAGACCCATATCTATCACCATGCACAAAACGCAAGTCCAAGTGGATTAAAGACCTCAATATCAGTCCAAACACACTGAACCTGATTGAAGAGAAAGTGGGAAGTACTCTACAACACGTGGGCACAGGAGACCACTTCCTACGTATAACCCCAGCAGCACAGACACTAAGGGCCTCAATGAATAAATGGGACCTCCTGAGACTGAGAAGCTTCTGTAAAGCAAAGGACACTGTCGCTAAGACAGAAAGGCAACCCACTGACTGGGAGAAAATCTTCACCAACCCCGCAACTGACAAAGGTCTGATCTCCAAAATATATAAAGAACTCAAGAAACTAAACCGTAAAAGGCTAATCAACCCAATTATAAAATGGGGCACTGAGCTGAACAGAGATCTCTCAACAGAAGAAGGTCAAATGGCCAAAAGACACCTAAGGTCATGCTCAACTTCCTTAGTGATCAGGGAAATGCAAATCAAGACAACTTTAAGATACCATCTTACACCTGTCAGAATGGCGAAAATCAAAAACACCAATGATAGCCTTTGCTGAAGAGGTTGTGGAGAAAGGGGTACACTCATCCATTGCTGGTGGGAATGCAAACTTGTGCAACCACTCTGGAAAGCAGTGTGGAGGTTTCTCAGGAAATTCGGGATCAACCTACCCATGGACCCAGCAATACCACTCTTGGGAATATACCCAAGAGAGGCCTTATCACACAACAAAAGTATATGCTCTACTATGTTTATAGCAGCATTGTTTGTAATAGCCAGAACCTGGAAACAACCTAGATGCCCTTCAATTGAAGAATGGATGAAGAAAGTATGGAATATATACATATTAGAGTACTACTCAGCAGTAAAAAACAAGGACTTCTTGAAGTTTGCAGGCAAATGGATGGAAATAGTGAGGTAAGCCAGACCCAAAAAGAGGAACATGGGATGTACTCACTCATATTTGGTTTCTAGCCATAAATAGAGCCTATAATTCAGGTTCTTAGAGAAGCTAAATAAGAAGGAGAACCCAAAGAAAATCATATAGGCTTCCTCCTGAATATTAACCTTCATCAGGCGATGAAAGGAGACAGAGACAGAGACCCACAATGGAGCACCGGACTGAAATCTCAAGGTCCAAATCAGAAGCAGGAGAGAGAGCACAAGCAAGGAACTCAGGACCGCGAGGGGTGCACCCATACACTGAGACAAGGGGGAAGGATGTTCTATCGGGAACTCACCAAGGCCAACTGGCCTGGGTCTGAAAAAGCCCGGGTTAAAACCGGTCTCGCTGAACATAGTGGACAATGAGGACTACCGAGACCTCAAGAACAAGGGCAATGGGTATTTGATCCTACTGTACCTATTGGTTTCGTGGGAGCCTAGGCAGTTTCGTGGAAGCTCACCTTACTAGACCTGGATGGAGGTGGGTGGCCCTTGGACTTCCCACAGGGCAGGGAACCCTGACTGCTCTTTGGGCTGACGAGG